ATACTTATATCCTGTTTACACAACTGACAGACTGCACTAGTAATGCATTATGGCTGCAAAGGTTGCGAGCATAGACAAAGTCCCTATAATGTTATTAAAAACTGGATTATTTAGCCCACTGTAGGGTGAGACTGGAGATGTGATTTATTATGTGATCTAATTTGCTGTTAACACTTGCTAAAACTTACTTTTTTGTTATCATGAATCAACTTAATGAGAGCAAAATAACACCCATTAGTTTGCCCAAGGGTCTGCTTCACATTTAAGGTGCTGTTTACTTACCCACTGTTTTTAAAAACATGTTAAAAGGATACTGTTAAAACTTCTGACACACCTCCATTTGTTTCTGTTCCTCAAAAATCACATTTCTACAACAAACATCTCTCTGCAATGTAAAGTTTGGCAAGAGTCTTACACAAGAGGACTGTGATTAGAAACAAGGCTCCTGTTCGGGGGGGGTGCGCGGAAATGAGGGAGAAAATGTACTGCAGCAAAAGTTTAAGCTGAGGAACTGAACTCTAAGCTAACAAGTAAAGAAGCTGGCATTCACTGTGGGGTTGGATTAGATCCTCCATTAAAAAAAACAAATCTACATAGCACAACCCCTTATTCCCAGCACATAGTATCCAGGTTTAGGTTTTACAAGATGTAATATTAAAAAAATATATATCTTCATTAACTAAAAAAAAATTAAGTGGGGTGGTTCAGAGGGCACAGAAACCACTTATCATCCCATGAGAGGGAGTCTCCTGAAGTAGATGAGTCGCCTGCAGATGTAAAGCAGGCTCCTACACCTCTCTCCCACAGCCCTTGGCACACAGAACATGTGAAGACTGGAGAAGGATAATGCTTTGCTCCCACCATCCCTAGCTGGTGCATGGTCTTTTGAGCATCATAGCTGGCTAGTGTAAGCTAGAGCAGTGCCCCACTGCTTCCACTGATTTTTGGGGCTATGGCTAAGAATCAGGGAGCTATAATGGCTTTATAGTTCCTAGCTTCTTGTTCTCCCTCCACCTCTGATAAGCTGCACTGTATGGTTGAGGGAGGGAGGAAAAACATCCTATATCATCAGCAGCAATCCCTAGCAGCCATGGATGATTGTATTCCATGACAGCCATCTTCAGACCTACAGATAAAACAGATGAGGTCAATCCAGGATTGACAGACTGGGTTGTAGCTCAAGCACATGTTTCTGTGTGGAGTGAGCATGGCACGCTGTTTCTGCTGCTCCTGTTTTTTCATCTCCTGTTGTCATTGCAAGATTTCAATGCACTGAGATCCTTTCAGCAGACTCTTCCTCCATTTGGGGAGGTCCTTCACTAGCGGGTTCAACCAATAACATGGTTTGAGCTTCTGTTCAACATTATTTAGGAGTCCTATATCCCCTGCAACATAGCAGAGAAAGGACCAGCTGCTCAGAGCATGCCTCATTCAGGCATGTCAAGGCTGCTTCTGGGGCAGTGGAGAGGGGTGGTGGGAAGCTCAGTGGATGGGGATGTGGAAAAGGCACTCCCTACCTCCTCCATTGATTCTAGCAATTCAGCATAGACATTGCAGAGCACAGCCCAGGAGGTATATATTCAGAATCAAACATTAATTTCCTCCTTACCCCACATGTCATAAGTTAAAGCCTCAAGTGCCACAACAGGCTGCTGACTAGTCACTGGCCACCCTGATTTATGGACTTATAACAAACCTAATTCAGCCAAAACACTTCATGCAATAGAGTCCAACAGAAACATTTCCCCAAGAAAATTCTGATTCCTCAAACTTGTTGGCGATATAATCAAGCTTCATGTGATTATATGTCATTCATTAATACAAGTATGTTTGAACAAAGTAATGATGAAATATTATAGCATTCTGAAGCATGAACCAGCTTTTTATGGTGACTGACAGATAATTTCAGTTTTCACAAGGACATGTAGAAATGATTCTTGCTTTACATAAGGAAAGCTGACTTTACAGTACTGGAAATCTCCCAATTATTTCTCAGTAAACAGATGCTGTAGCAGGCCTTCCAATACAGCAGCCATTGAAAGCACTATTTTAAAACAATAATGTAATTTAGTAGATGTGTGATTTATATGTTTCAGACAGAGGTTTAAAGGGTTTTGAAAATATTGTCATGGTGTATTTTCCTCCAGATGAATCTCTTTATAACTGCTTTTAGGTACTGTATTCATATTAAGCACCTGGTTTTAAAATAATGATGCTGTTGAATCTGGTCATTTGTAGGACTGAATTTGAAGTTAACTTTCATTTCAGGTTCCAGAAAAGTTCCATCCTCATTCCAGTTTCCAACCAAGCCTTGAAGTGATGAGCCACCACAAGTGAAACTGTTTGTGGCCAGCTCAAAAATGTCTCATACAGGAAAAACCACTCAATTCACAGGGGCATCCAATAGTTATTCAGTATGATCCTGAGTTGCTACAAAACTTGAGAGATCAAGGAACTCTTCAGTGGGTGCGTCTACATGTTCATTAATGTGCCTTAGATACTGCGCATTTAGTTTAGTACTTCCTTAATAAAGTACTAACTAGATGTTCAGTACCTAGAGTTACTGCACAGTAGCGCAGCATTTATTTAGTGATGCTTACTACACATTCACCTAATAACACAGCGCAGTAGGTTATTAGCATGGTTTTTGCTATGACATGCTACTGCACTGTGTTATTAGGCTAATGTGCCGTAAGTGTCTCATGTAGACATGCCCAGTATTAGTCATCTTTTAGGAGAGTTATCTGTTAGACATTCTGCAATAGGCTTACATATCAAATAAGACAGTGATCTCTGAAGTGTAACTGCATCTGGTTTATGTCATTACAGTTGATTTCATGACATGAGTGGCTTGTTGTCTGTTATAAGATTGAAATGATCAACACTTTGCAAGAACTTTTGTACCAAACATTCATTCTCCCCTGGGATTCAGTGTATGTCAGGGCCTGAACTATGGATTATGGGCTTTAGTCCTTTTAGGTAACTAGATTTACACCAGTTGAAACCAGGGACTAGAATCTGTGATTCCTAAAAAATGTAGCACAGGCATGAAAGCCGGGATTCTGGGCTAGGGGTGGAAAAGAATTGCATCCCTAGTCTTACATGGTAGGATTTCAGCTATAGTTGTAACTGTTTCTAGGCCTATCACCTTAGATTAGTGATTCTTAGCCAAGATGATGTGGCACTTGGGGTGCCCTGAGATCCTTTCAAGGGTACCTCAAGGTGCCATGCAGTGTTAGCAATGTTAGGTGCATAAATATAATTCATAAGATAAATCCAGAGATTTCAAATAGGAATCCACAATGTTAAAAAATATTCTGATCTATTGTGGTCTTTCTCAGTTCTTTGCAACAGAAAAATTCCTCCATTATTTTTCTATAATTAAAAAAATGAATGAAGACTAAGAGCTAGAATTTTCTAAGGGGTGCCTTGAGTTTGAAAAGGTTGAGAAATACTGTCTTAGAAAATGTGATGCCATGATCTTTGAGCTCTCAGGTTTTTTACAGTAATTTTTATTCTATTTAAAGACTGACTATATGATAACAGAAGCTGAATGGCACTAGCTTCTCCAAAAGGAGTACAATGGAGACTAGAAATGTGAGTGGAAGATATTCTACTGTAGTCCCTCCTTGTTATGAAACAGGGAGAGAAGGAGCAAGAGTCACTGGGAACATTGTGTTGAAGGAGTCCAAGGCATTCCCATAAAACTTCAATGGGATTTGGGTAGTTAATCCCAAATGCTTTGAAAACCCTAACCAAAATCCCCAGTGTCTCCTGTATTTCATGGCAGCTTCATTGAGAATGATTGATTTTTTTTTTTTAAATCACTGAATCAACCAACAAACTGATTCCTTAGGTCAAAGAGTTATTTCAGTAATTTTGAAACATAACCTGGTCCCAGCATTTTGAAGCGGCATGTAAACTAGGCATTTGAAGAAGTGCTAAGTCCTTAAGAAGAAGCTATGAAGGAGTAGGCAGACATTTCTGCGTTTATATATTCTGAAGATATTTCGCAAAACACGAATGACTAGATGAAAGAACAGGAGGTAAAAGAGGTGACATGAAAGTAATCAATAAACTAAGAACTACCTGATAGTTAATTCTCACCTTGTGAGGAATGCGCTCCAGGCTCCTCTGCTGCTGTGGGAGAATCCTGTTGCTTTCTGGGGTTTTCTTTGCCTCACAGAAGCCCTTGATTTTATCTCCACCGAGCGGAGCCCCTGTGACTGACGGCAGTTGTTACACTGAATGTTTTGCCCCCAGTCAAGGCAGGGTGGAAAGGCAGAGGTACCCAGCAGGGCCTTCCTCTCCCTATGGGTGGAAGAAGAGCTTCCACTCCAGACTGCACCTGTTGTGCAGTTCCTCTTTGTCCAAAGAGGAAGCCACCTTTGCCTACCTTCTTCACAAGGCTGTTGTGAAGATTGATTAGTTAATGCTTATATTGTGCTTCATAGCAGTTTGCTAGACTTTGCAATGGCAGTTTTCCAGTAGTATTGGAGAACCCCTACTGTCAGAGGGTCCAGTTAAGGTTTTGTCTGAACAGTTTAATCTGTGATTTGAAAAAGAGTCCAGCTCTGTCTCAGTATAGAGAACTGAGGTGCTGCTGCTGCTGCCTTTCTTGGATGACTCTGAAATGTCACAGCCACGCATCGAGATTCCCTGTATGGCAGGGAAGGAGTGGGGGTGGGGGCGGCTTTGCTTTCTACTTTGCCTTTGAATATGTGGGGACAAATCAAGGTGTGCCATCCCAGTTTTCCAAGTTCAGAGAGATTCGTATACTTCGCTCTGCAGCTTTCTTAAATAAGTCAGACAGATAAGTGGAAAAGACATCTGCCAGTGAGGAGCTAGACGGGCTTGGAAATCTGTGGCTGTGATTCGGACCCTCGTCATACCAACGTACTTTGTCACTGAGGCAGGAATTCAGTTACCATGGGTTACCCTATCAGTACGGGGACCAAGTGCCTCCCCTTCCAACAGTTCTATAAAAAGGGATTGTCAAAGAGACCCCACTGGCTCCTGCCTTTCTGCACAGATAGGAAAAAACTTAAGCACTGTGAGAGAGGGAAGTACCAGAGAGGGAGTGTCAGCATGTCTTCTGCATTCAGATTCCAGTGCCACTTCTTCCTAATCTTCTTGGCAACCCTGAAGGGGGAAACCAGATACCTAGAGGTGAGCATTGCAATTGATAACTGTCACAGCCCATCATACTTGCTCCAGCTTGCCGTTCTAGGTTTAGTGGATCTGATGTCTTTCCTCTTCTCTCCCTCCCCCCCACCCCCCGCCTTTCATTAGAGCTGACCATAGAACAGCATTAAAAGCAGCAGGTCTTCTCTCCCTCCCTCCCTCCCTCCCCCACTCCTATTTTCCATGTTCATTCCCCTTTTCTCAGACTGCTTGCATTTTTGTTAGCAAAACCACCATTCTCTGTATGCCTGGGTTGATCTCTCTACCTTCAGAGACCAGATTGCATTAGGTATTGACAGCTCCTGGACAGTTTCAGACTAAGCTGTGTCTGCATAGGACCATTTCTGGAGGAGGGTGCCATTCACTGATACTTATTTCTGAGAAACATAGGGTGGCTTCTGTAATCAAACCATTTCACTTGGTCCCAGCTTCTTGTTTTTCCTTCCACCAGGTGAGGGATGCTGGCGAGGATGATCCCTTTCTGCTCCTCAGCGCAGACCTGAAGCGAGAATTGTCCGAAGGGCAGATCTACCGTCGGTCACTTAGTGAGTTTCTTTGTTTCTCTGCTAAGGAGCTTTTGAAATGGGTGCGAGCTCTGAAATGGGGATCATATTGGAGGTGAGAGCTGAAAGTACTTGTGCGTGTGTGTTTGTGTGTGTGGGTGGGTGCATGTGCACATGTACATGTAGGGGGATGAGGATCAGGACTGAGACCTTGTAAACTTGGATTCTAGGCTGAAGAATCTTAGGACTCCTGGGCTTTGAGTTCAGCTGCAGGGTCCTGGCTGCAGGGAATAGGGCATGGAGATGTTAGCCTGGAGCCCTACCTCTGAGGTCCAAATCCTAAATGCAAATAGGATGAGGAGCTTTCAGGGAAGAGGACAGTTTTCATAGTGGGTCACATGGAGATGAGATAAAAGAGATCTGCTATGTGAACTGACCACACATGATTTTCAGCTCAAAGATATTTTAGCACATCAGTCTCTTTACTCTCTTACAAACACATACACTCTCAGTCACTATTTATCTCCTCAGTATTCAGCACAGCAGCTTTATAACCCTTTCGTCTCAATCTCCAAAAAGGTGAGGTCTGTCTCTGTTGCTAGCTTGCACAGTTAGTGGGAACTGTCTGCTGCTCTCTGTTCTCTGAGAGGTGCTGAAATGCAGTCAGTGGCTCATGCTCTCTCTCTTCAGGATGTATTGACATGCTAAGTATAGAGGGGCAGTTCACCTTCACCGCAGAACAACCCCAGCTACACTGTGCCACTTTCTTTATTGGAGACCCAGAGGAGCTCATCACAATAGACTATGACTTTGTAAACATTGACTGCCAAGGAGGAGATTTCCTTAAGGTAAGATGCTGACAACTCTTGATACCCTTTTCCTACTTAAATCATCAAAGTATAAAGCATTGCAGATGTGTCGACTGGAAGGTGGGGGGGATGAAAGAGATAATATATTGTATATGGGGGCTGGGGTAGGAGTTTCAGAAGCAATGTTCATTGGGACTGGTGTTCATAAAGCCCTTAGGCACTTTTGAAAATTCTCCCCATGGAAGAGGGGGTTATGGTGCAGGCTGAGAACTCATTCAACTGCTATAAGAGAGATTCCAACCTTTGCCAGAGGTTTTTTTTTTTCTCCCTAAGCAGGAAAGGCATGTCTTTACTCAGTTCCTATAGTTATATAGTGTATTTAAAAGAAAAGTTGAATCAGCATAGGGCAATCCTTCTAGCTTAATTCCTATTGCATTGCATAGCACCATGAATCATATGAACTCTGTATTGTGGCTCTCATGAGCACTGTTAGTGCTGCAGAATATGCACTTTTTGGCCATTTAGAATTAGCTTATTAATGAGAGTGGCTCGATGAATTCCTTTTTTTAAATGGTCCCAACAGCTGTTCAGGACACTCTCTCTTTGGACAAATTTCACGATTCAGAGTCAATTATATTGCAGGACCAAGAATACTTCACTGGAAATCTCTGATTTCAGGGAGAAATTTTGACCAAAATCTCGGTTTTAATGCTTTAAAGCTTTAATGTGCGTATTTAATTCCTTCATCTTGTAACCGGATCTTCATATGGATATGGCTTACATAAGATCCCAAGTAGGGATCTGTTAGTGAGGAAGGGCAATAAGATAAGGAGATGTAAAATGAACAGAGCCACCCCTCAGGCTTTTGACTTCCCCATGGAAAAATAATATAGCCCCATGCTGGAGTACCTCTCCAGCCTCCACAGATACCACATTGCTAGGTTGGGAGAAAACAATGCCCTGGGTAGCAGTTATGGTCTCCTGTGGATGCACAGGAGACCAGAATTTATGGTCTTTTCTGTTGGCCCAGACAAAGTCACAAAATCCTTCATGAGGGGGCAACCTTGTGGAGTTTCCCTCCCTCATGGTGGTACATTGTTCCTCAGTTTCTTAATTATGGTGCAGTGTTTCTTACCTATAGCTTTTCAGTAGTGTATTGTGAACAGCCACATCAAGTCATTCTATAGAGAGTTACAGCTCTAGAAGACTTGAGGACTGATGCTGCAGTTTTTATGTAAGAAATCCTCACTCAGATAAGAACTGGCCCTTTGTTTGTAAGAGCACTACAGAAAGCTATTGAAGCACATTAGGGTATTACTGAGAAGCAATTAGGAGGCAAGTGCATCAGTGTTAGAGGGTAGTTGCTCAGTTAAGTTAAATCTAATGCAGATTTCTGACTGACAAATTCCCCTGAATATTACAAGGGCTAATCTATTTTTTTGTATTGTAATGAGAGATTTGCAGAGTGTGCTGTTCAGAATCAGTGAGGTAAGCAGTGTCTGCTTTGTTTCTTTACCATCAGCCTAAGTCTCAGAGTGAGCTGAAAAGGACAGGTACAGAGGAAGAGAGGGCTGACCCAACACAAGCAATAAAATTGCACTAATACTTCCTTTAAAACTTATTGGGCTGATTTTTCAAGTTGAAATGCTAGTGCCAGTGCTCAGCAATGTCTATTATCTAGTTAAATTCAATGGTAAAGCTTCCTGATGAAAAAAATCATTTTCTGTGCATTTACAAAAATCTCAGTAGCAATTTTAACCCCAGGGAAGTTAAGGATACAGAATTTTTTTTATTGAATTGATGGTTATATATTAGATCTGTGCGAAGCTTCAGTCCCCGATTCGATTTAGTGGAGATTTGACCTGATTCGGTGGCTGAATCTCCAAATCCGAACTGAATCAGAGGACCCTTTAATCTTTCTGAATTGAATCGGAACCCTCCGAATCAATTGAGAGAGATTCGGAAAGATTTGGCAATTCAGACATAGACACAGCTTTAAATGTTTTTTGTACATACCTCTAGATACCAGGCGGCTCGTGAGTGCTGCAATGCTGGGGTACATGGAGTGTCCCACAGAAGCATGGGAGGCTCCCCAGCACGCTTGGCAATAAACCCAGAAGTGGACCAGAAGCACTTCCAGTCCACTTCCAGGTCTGCTGGGGAGCGTGCAGGGAGGCCACCTCATGCCTTCCTGACTCAGTGACTAGTGCCTTCTGGGTCTTGGGAATCAAATCGGGGACAGTGATCTGAATCAGTGAATCGAATCACTTTCCCTGATTTGGGCCAAATCCAAATCTGAATCAAATAGGGCCCACAAAGTTAGCAAATCCCTTACTGTTTAAGGTGCTTTACTATAGTTGGATTATCAGAATGATGCAAGATGTAATTACAGCACTTCTCTCTAAGATAAAGTACAAACATTAATATTTAGGTGCATATGGCATGTTCAGCATGGAATAAGATACAGAGATGGGACCAAAATCTATCCACAATGTGTAATGACTGTAGTGTACTGTAGCCCTACAGTGTAGTCACTGCCATATACCAATACCTCGTGTGGAATTGATGTTAAATGTGTGCAAATGCTTTTCTTCTCAACACAACCAACTGGAAATCAAAGAAATCATGAGATAAAGCAGCATTACAGTCCCCCAAACCTCAGTTAACATATTTTATTTCCTGAAGTTCATAATGCCCAAAATACCAGGGGCTCCTACAGGCTTCCTTTCATTTCATATACTTAGCCACCTCATATGCAGGCATTTACTCAGACTTTCCAAGTTTTTTACAGTGAAACCTCTTGCCATCAAACCCTTGCAAATACTTGGAGGCCATTTGGGTTTAGGGTGGGATCTAAAAGTGCATTGTAGTTGGTGATGATGATCTAGACATAGTAGCAGGGGTCTGGAACCAGGAAGACAGGCTGGTCAGTGGCTGGGGGGGGGGGGGCGCCCGGGGGGCCGCCCCCAGCCACTGGTCCAGCAGTGGTGTAGGTTGAACTAGGGTGTAGAGTCAACGAGTAGATGTTGACTGTGAGGTTACATTTTATATCAGCCTTCATGATGCAAAATCCAATATTATGTCTCTGTAACAAATCAATTTCCCCAAACAATTTAATGTTGTTTCCAGGGACACACAGCTTTCTGAGAGATATCAAGTCCAAAGTGACCTTGTTAAAGCAGAAGAGAACAAAAAAAGCTTACGACCATCTGTAAAAGTGTAAAAAACAAAAACAAACAACAAAACAACAGCCCCCCCCAAAAAACAAAAAAACCAAACCTGGTTTTCTTTATTCCTTTAGTGTTTAAATACTGGTGCTGGTTGAATTCTGCTTTGCAGTAGATGATTGTCAGATTGATCACTTTGATATTTCATGTCAAAGGAATTAAGGGTAGGATTTTTCAAAAGTATCTGTGGAGCAAGGAGTATATTGAAAGTAAATGAGTTTTGTGTTCTTGATTCTCTAGAGAGGAAATTGCAAATGGAGCCACTGATCCAGATCTGTACTCCTTTAGCTTTCTGGTGGCAAAATGGTAACTATAAAGAGCTGATGTTTCAATTCCTGAATACTTGTAGGTATTTGATGGCTGGATACTCAAAGGTGAGAAATTTCCTAGCTCCTTGGACCACCCTCTTCCCACTTCGCAAAGATACATTGATTTTTGTGAAAGCAACAACTTTCAGAGGAGCATCAGATCATCCCAGAATGTGGCAATGATCTTCTTCAGGATTCATGAACCCGGCAATGGATTTACATTCACAATAAAGAAAAATACCAATCTCTTCCGTAAGTCTGATTTTTTGTTATGTCAAATGGATTACATTTGGGTTAGAAATCTGAACAAACATGTTACTTTCCTTTTCATTCCTTCTCAGAAATCTTTTAAATTGACATCATTCAGCTGATAATGATGGCTCTATACCTTGTAATGTGCTGAGGAATATCAACATTTATTGATGTGGGCTAAGCTTGTGCCTCAAGTTAAGAGAGAACATTCTTGAAGTATATATGAGATGTTAAGCATGTTTTCTATATTTAAGATCCAAGGAATTGTTATTTAAAAAATTAGTTTCAATCTGTAATATTTGTGTGCAAAATATACAGTGACTAAGGTGTTTTCCAAGGAAGTAGGTGATGTAGGTTTGAATTCCTTTAGGCTAAGGAGCAACTTTAACCCTGGTCTCCCACTTCCTGGGTAAGTGCTCTACCCATTATATATTGTATAAAAGGTGGGCATCACCATCATCACTGCCATTTCCTCTGGCTGCACCTTAAAAATGAGCTGTGCTGTGTTCTTCCAGAAAATTCTTGTAGGTGTCTACCCTTAGGAGTAGACCTTGGCCTCTGTTTCTTGAGTGGCTCTCCCTCATGCCTCCCTGATTAAGATGCTTAAGCTCAAGAACATTGCTCAGACACATCTCTGTGTTTAGTATTTAGTTAACACTAGCTGTGGGCAGCTCCCTGCTCAGCATGGAGGGTTTTTAGATTGCCCTTCTGAGGCAACTCACTCTCTCCATGAGCTGGGTAGGACCCCTGGCATCTAACATGATGTGGTGGCATATAACTTGGAGGTGCTGAAGCCCCTTTTCTAGATCTTGCAATGAGATTGGTGGAACTCCATGATGCTACAAAAGTTGAGCCAGGCAGAGTCAACTGAAGGACTGAAGTCTAAGGTACTTAGGAAAGATTTTAAGTTCTATGATGTGTGATGCTAGGCATTTCTAGAGGACGAAAGCCACTAGCCAAGGAAAATGTTGTTGTATAAAACATCCTTTGTCATGCTGATGATATGAAATCATAATAAAATGAATTGTTCTTTGTTAGCATATATTATTTTTAGGAAAAAGAAGAGTAAACTGTACAGTGCAGATAAGTCTATTTTTGGGATGGAGTAAGAAACATGTTGGGGACAGTCAGCTATAGCTGCACCAGATGCAAACCAAGATAACATTATAGAATCTGGCCATATACATTTAGGTCATGGGGTACAACTACATCAAAATGGTCCAGAACACAGTCAGATTCACATACCTTTGCTATAGGCAGATCATGACTACTGTAGAAATAATTTTGTTGTGTCTTCTCCCTGTGCTAAAGCCTGCAATGTCATCTCTCAGACTCCGACTGGAAGGTTCACTATGTTAATTCCTCATCAGCACAGAAACTGCAGCTTCTCTATAATTTATCCAGTGGTGATAAAAATATCTGACCTTATACTGGGACATTTAAATGGCCTCTACTTAAAGGTGAGTTGTTTGTTATGCAGTCAGGTACTACATTTAGCAGTCGTGTAG